CCTCTGGGGCAAGACTTGCTTCGATGGGGCTTTGGTGCTCACTGAGTCTGCCCCCTGAGTGTGTCTTTTATGTTTCCACGGAGCTGCAAACTGGATGGTCCCACTCTGACCTCTGGGCTTCCTGGCTCCTGGATCTCTAGGGAGGTGCTAATCTAGCCTTTGCCTGCGGCTATTCAGCAAAAGCCTCCCTGCAGGGCCTGGGCGGGGCGGGTCCCACAGGATCAACAGGGCGGGGCTATCAGTTATGGCTCCTCTGAGTCCTGCCCTCAGAGGTTTGCTTCTCAATGTCCCGGTAATCGCTGCAAGCCCCTCGGAGAGAAAGCTGCCCTCAAGTTCCGACCAATGCCAGACAGTCCCGCTTCTCCCGTATGAGTCTGGGTCCCTAAAGACTCGCCCGGAACTGGAGCTCAGAGTCTGAGACTCCCTCCCGATTGAAAACGACAACCGTGCCCTCAGCCACCAGCCCGCTCCGCATGCAACCTCCGCACCTTAGTATTTTACTTCCGCACTGAGCCTCCTCTGAGTCTCCGTATGGTTTTCTCTTTCCTTCTAGTTGTAGGATTTCCACTCAGCCAGCCTTCCTGTGGTTCTGGATGATGTCCGTTCCGTCTTTTAGTTGTATTTTTGAAGTGGTTGTTCGAGGCAGCAAACTCCGGTGTTTACCTATGCCGCCATCTTAGTTCTCCTCTTTTATATATATATATATATATATATATATATATATGTGTGTGTGTGTGTGTGTGTGTGTGTGTGTGTGTGTGTGTTTAAAGCTACAGATTTCTCTCTCTGTTTAGCTACATCCATAAATTTGGGTATGTTGTGTTTTCATTTTCATTTAATACAAAATATTTTTAAATTCCTTTGTGAATTCTTTGACCTATGGGTTATTTTGAGGTGTGTAGTCTAATTTTCAAATATTTGTGTTTTCCCAGATTTCTTCCAGTAGTGGATCTCTAAATGTGATTCGTTTGTGGTTAGAAAAACACATCATATGATTTCAGACTTTTTAACATTTTTGAGACATACTTGGGACCCTCACTTTAATATCAGCATGTAGCTTCCCTCACTTTCATTGTCTCCTCTTAATTGCTACCCTCTCAATGAGACCAACCCAGTCCAATATTAAAATTGCAACTACCAATACCACCATCTCTTAGCATTTTCTATCATCCCTTATACTGCTGTATTTTTTTCTTTTTCAAATCCCTCATAACCTCCCCCCATAGCCTTCTAATATAATTTACTTAACTCTCTGAAGGCAGAAATCTTTGTTTTATTTATGGATGTATCTCAAAAAGCTAGAATAATTCCTGGATCATAATAGTCACTGAATAAATATATATATTTTTGAGTGTATACATTAGGGTATTTCATCTACTTAATCATATGTAGCTAAAATTTGTTCACTTTTTTAAAGTATATTTTTTATTGTTGATAGTATTACAGATATCTCCCATTTTCCCCCCCTTCATGTTCACTTTCATTGGAATGTAGTATTTCATTATATAATCTTACTACAATTTAATAGTTGATTCTTCTTAAATCGACACTTGTATTTTTGCTAGTTTCAGGCCATTATATATATACCAGTGATCTAACCATTGTTATTGTTATACCCTGGTACCATATACCCAAATTTTTCTAGTGTAAATATGTAGGAGTAGAATTAATGGGTCATGTTATGAGCATATATTGCACATTAGTAAATAATGTCATAGTGCTTTGCAATATGGTTGCATATTCCTACCAGCAATGTCTGAGGGTTTCGTTTGCTTTACAGTCTCACTGATATGTGATATTGACATTCTTTTTAATTTTTTTGCCAATATGGCAGTTTTCTTTTAGTATTTTCTTCTTAATTAGCATTTCCCTGAATTCTATTATGGTTGATTAATTTATTTTTATGTAGTTGAATTTGTCAATATTTTTCTTTAATGGTTAGTGGTTTGGGGAACTTAAGAAGCCTTCCATACTGTTCTTATACCTTGCTGGTGTAAATGCAGAATAGCACAACTTCTACAATGTGGAATTTAGCAATATAGAGAAAAGTTACATACATATTTGATCCTTTGTCTCAGCAAAGCCACCTCTTTTAATCTACTTCAACAATGTACTGGAAAAATACAAAATTCTATATGCACAAGGTTGTTTTTCATGGCATTATTCATAACAGCAAATAAGACTAAGATATAATACCAGTGTGCATCAGTAGGGAATAGTTGAATAAACTATGGTACATCCACACAGTGGAGTATTATACAGCTATCAGAAGAAAGGGAAAGAGCTTTACATATTAATATGGAGTTACCTAAAGTATATATTATTAAGTGCAAAGAAGTAAGTTGTGCACTGGCCGGTGTGGCTCAAGTTGTTGGAGTGCCGTCCTGTACACCAAAAATGGCGGGTTCAATTTCCGGTCAGAGTACATACCCAGATTGGGGGTTTGATTCCGTCAGGGCACATGCAGGAGGCAACCAATCCAAGTCTCTCTCTCTCTCTCTCTCAAATCAATTTTAGAAATTTTATAAATGTAAGTTGTCAATAGTGTATAGTAAGTTACTGTTTATGTAGGAGAGGGGTATAACTAATGAATTATATATAGTGTGTGTCCCAAAAAAATGTATACATACTTTAACAACTGATAGCTCAGTTTTGAAAATGAAATGTATTTTAATAAACATTGCCTTTATAATTATTCAAAATGTGTATATACATTTTGGGATACTATATATACATATATACACACACACATATACATATATATGTGTATATGCTTCTTTGCTTATATTTTCAAAAAAGAATCAATGGAACCATAAAGCCAAAACCTAATAAAATTATTATTTATGGGGAAGGAAAGGAATGGGATGAAGGGGACAGAGATGGAAGTGAAACTTCTGTGAAGGTACTGTATAACACAGTTTTTACTCTAGACCTATTTAAATGTTTTTGCATAATTTAAAAATCAAAAAGGGAAACATCCATCCCTAAAATTCATGAACAACCTGAAGCAAATGAATCTAACCATAAAAAAGTTGGTAGCATAAAAATACAGAGGAAACAATTACTTAAAATGACTTTAAAACAATATTTGTACATTCCTAATGGGATATATTATAAAGGTAACTGCAAAAAGATGTAAATCTCTATTCAGTAGTTTCATTGTTGATATTCATATTAGTATTGTTATTGACATTTAAAAATTCTATAAATATATTATAAGAAAAAGCAAATAAATAATGTTGTTAATGTTAAAAAACAAATATTTTAAGCATATGTGAAAAGAGATATACAAGTCTAAAATCAAGAAGTTTGAGTAAAAACCTTATAATCTTACATTTGAAGTGGAAATACCAGTATAATTTCTTTTTCTCTTTTTCTCTTTAAAAAAATTTTCTGGTTTTGTCCACCGAAAATGTCTAGAAACAATAACAACTTAACAGCAATGAACACACCTAGCAACACATTATACTTTTTAAATACTATTCCCCATTAAAAGGAGCCAGGGGTCCTTGGAAAAATAGTTTAGGTTGGAGTCAGGAAATGTGCAATATGAGCTTGGGACATCTTGCTGTGCCAGAAAACTGAAAAGCACTATAGTAGTCAATTTGAAAGGACTCCTACTGGCCCTAAGTGGGATAATTTGACCACTAAAAGAATAATGACTATATTTAATTGAAACACATAAAATGTAATAAAAATACACGATCTCACAATTATACTAAAAATAATCATTGGTCACCACTGGACATTTGTATGGTACCAACTCATTACTCTCATAGTGGTAAATAATGGGGAAAATAATGCATTTATCCTGCCTTTCCTGTATAAACTGTATATAGGGAAACTAGTTGATGACGGTAAGTTTATTATAGAATTCTAAATAATAAACACAAAAAAAATAGTGGAATTAGGGGAGCTCCATTTCACAACTCTTAATAAATTAATAGATCTAGACAGCAGTCATCACTGGATGTAAAACCCAGTGATGTGAAAGATGAGCGAGAAAATTTCATAATGGAGAGATCCGACTAATACCACCTGAACACACTGATCAATTTTAGCATTACTAAAAATGGGACCACCAAACATTATGTGCCTTTTGATGTAATAGGAAATATACAACCATCTGTGGAGGATTCTTGCCTAAAAATATGAAACCTGAATCTAATCAAACCTCTAGATCAGCACTGCCCAATGTAACTTGTATAATAATGTAAATGGTCTCTATCTTTTTTTGCCCAATATAATATCCACTCGCCACAGGTGGCTGTTGAGCATTTGAAATGTGACTAGTTTAACTGAGGAACTGACATTTAAAAGATTAATTTGAATAGGTTTGTGTGGCCAGTGGATACTGTATTAGATAGAATAGCTCTATATTTAGCTGCCAGTTTATAAGAAATGGAGGGGATTAATGAACAAATTAAACAATACCATGAAAAACAATCAAATTCATTTGTTCTGTGAACAAATATGGTTCTTTTAATAAATCAATGGGATGGGGTAAAAAATGGGTTGGAGGGGTGGGAAGGAAGGGGTACTGTTTTAAAATAAAAGAGACTTAAGAGATGTAACAGCCAAAGGCTGGGTTAACAATCAAGTGTAAAAATATATCTTTGTGATAATCAGGACCATTTCAATATGAACTTGGTATTAGATTATATTAAGGAATTATTAATTTTGTGAAGTGTGATAATGCCATACTGGTTACATTTTTAAATGTCCTTATCAGTTAAGTGCATGTACTTGCATGACCCTGAGAGTGAGCACCTCCTTAAGTTTTGTACCCCAGTGGCCTCACTTGCTTCACCATAGTTCCAGCCTTGCTTGAGATGCACTGTAATAAAATAGCTATATACTATTGTCATTTATTGCAGGTTGTAAACACCTGCCCCAGCAGAGTTTCTAAATCTGAGATCTAAGATTTAATTTTAATTAATTTGTCAAAGGTTGTATTGATAGGCTTTGTAGAACTTCCCTATCTCTTTGTCTTAATCCAGATGAACCCCAAAAGAAGAACAAAGGTGATCCCATGAACAACCTGGAAAATTTTTACCAAGAGATGATAATGAAAAAACGTCTTGAAGAGTTCCAACTTATGAGAGGTGAACCCTTTGCTTCCCACTCACTGGTCTCAGCTACATCAGTGGGAGATAGTGACACAGCTGAGAACCCGCCATTACTCCAGGACAAGGGAGAACAGGCAGCACAGGGTAAAGGTCCCAGTCTTCATGTGGCAAAAGTTATTGATAATTCACCTGAGCAGTGTTGGACTGGGCCTAAGAAGCTGACGCAGCCAATAAAATTTGTCCCAGAAGATGAGATCCAGAGAAATCGTTTGTCAGAGGAAGAGATCCGAAAAATTCCTATGTTTTCTTCATATAATCCAGGGGAGCCAAACAAGGTATAGGCTAAACCAAGACAAAAACATGGGTTGTTTTCATTTTAATTTACCTCTACCTAAAGTAATACTTTTAAATTCACTTTAATTATACTAAAGAATTATGACATAGGTATAGTGATCGTGTTTTTCCTTGTCCTTCACTATTCTTTCTCTGCATACTATATAAGTAGCATATTTCTTGTGATGTTCCTTGTGCATTTCTAAGGTCCTAAAGTACCCATAGAATTTTAAAGAAATCTTGAAAATACTCTATTCCAAACCTACTAAAAGACCTGAATTGAAGGGAAGGTAACCCCCAATTTCATAGGCTAGTAATAAATCAGGTAGTATTCATAGGACCTCCATATCTGATAGCCATGGTGCCTTTGGAACTAGTCTTTGGAACATATGACTTAGATGCTGGTAGTTAAGAGCAAAGTGAAAGCACAGGCCCTCTAAGTCTTGAGAAATTGGCAAATATCTAAGTAAACTTGTAAATAATCTTTTTATATTCTTACTACATAGCTATATATTCATAAACAACATATAGTTTTACATATTTCTAAACTATAGATAAAATCATGCTCTACATACCTTTCTATAACTTGCTTTTTAAACTCAATATACATAATGTTTTGAAATTTATTTCTAATGCTATAAGGAACTATGTATTCCATTGTAGAAATATAGTATAATTCATTTGTCCATTTTCCTGAAGATATTTTCTTTTCAATTCTGCAACAAACATTATTGTACAATTAGTAGGTCACAATCGGCAATTTTTTAAGGAAATGAAACAGAATAGAATAGAAAATATCAATATTATAGAGTAAGAGTAGTTACTGTTTATTGTAGGTTTTGTTTTACATATGTATGTACACACACATGAGAGAAGGGGGGGATAGACATGTGTGGGACAAGAATGCATGTCTTCCTATAGATCTTAGTCCAAAACGTTGGAAAAAATATTGATTTGTTGCAGTGATTATCAAATGTTAGTGTGTACCAAAATCACCTGGCAGGCTTATTAAAATGAAGATTGCTGGGCTCTGTCCCCAGAATTTTTTATTCAGTAGATCTGAAGTAGGGTCTGAGAATTTGCATGTCCAACAAGTTCCCAGGAGATGCTATTGCTGCTGAGAGACATTTTAAGAATCACTATCATAGATTATATACGTAGGAGTAGAATTACTGTGCTATATAGGATATGTATATCTTCAATTCCGTGAGCAGGATTTCAGAGATCTCTTCCACATTCTTGCCAAGACTTTGTAGTATTAGACTTTATTTTTGCCAGTCTAATATAGTATTTGAAAGGTATCTCATTGTTTTAATTTGCATGTTCGTGATTTCCAGTGAAATTATGTATGTATTCATGCATTTGTTAGCCTTTCAGGAACATTCTGTGAGTTGCCTGTTCCTTTTTATCCATTATTTGGTTGTTTAGTTTTTCATATTATTTATAGAGATTATTTTAAAATTCTGAATACAAACTTTTTTTTTATTTAGAAAATATATTATTTCAGTGAGTGGCTTATCATTTTAACATTGCTTCTGATGTCTTACGTTAAGCAGAAGTCTTTCATTTTAATGTAATCATATCATCAGTATTTTACTTGATGGTTTCATTTTTGGAGTCACTTTAAGGAAATTCCTCCCTATAAATCAATAAGGAAAAATATAGACAACCCAATAAAAATGGTCAGAAGATATGAATAGGCAATTCACAGAGGAGAGAAGAGGAATGGCCAATTAACTTATAAAGTCTCATTAGTAATCAAAGAAATGCAAAATAAAACTATAATGAGATAACATTTAACACTCAGAATGTTGGCATAAAGACATGACAGTGCCAAGTGCTGGTGAACATATGGAGCACTAAAAACGCTAATATGCTTCTGGCTGAATATAAATGAGTACAACCACTTTCAAGAACATTGGGGCAATATCTGGTAAAATGGGAGATGCTCATACAGTATAAATCAGCAGTCCCACTCCTAGGTGTCTGTCCTAGAAGAATTCTTACATATACACATTAGGAGATGTTATAAGGATGCTTGTTATAACATTATTTGTAGACAGCATACATGTTCATCAGCAGGAGAATGGATAAAGCGTGGTATAGTCATAAAATAGCATACTGTACAGTAGAGAAAATGAATAAAATATAACTACAGGTATCAATGTGGATGCAGTTCACAAACATAATGTGAATGAAAAAAGCCAGTTTCAGATTTCTGGTTTCAGCTTTAACATACAAAGTGCTTGGAAGTTGTCATTCCTGTCTTACAAGAAAAAGAGTGGAACAAACGAAAAATCAATGACTTTTTCTTGGGCCCATCAGAGCATTGAATTCACAGGGCAAACTGCAACCCTGAAATTTGGAGAGACAGGCAATTAAAGAGAACCACAGCCCAGATCTACTTATTAGGATCGGAAAGCCACAGGAGCCATAAACTGGTAGGAATACTTAAGTGGTAACTTTGACAAATTGCTTGAGTCAGAGTGTAGATTAGTGTTTGAACATAACAGTTTCTCAATTTGAAGAGCCAAGAAAAAAGTCTGTTCCTGGCTAGTAATAAATCAGATAGTATTCATAAAAGCACCATATATGGTAGCCATGGTGCCTCTGAAATTAGTCAATAAATACCTCCAGGAACCCCACTAGGTTCTCAAGTTGAAGAGCCAAGAAAAAAAATCTGTTCCTGGCATGGGGAGCAGAAAAGTAATCATTTTGAAATATACCCAGAGCTTCTACAGAACAAAGGACTATCCAACATGTGAAACAATTTTACCAAAGCCTTCTCCACTATGGGAGAAGGGAAATCATCTTACTTTAGGCCCCTCTGGTCTTCCTGTCCCATCTGAGAGAGAGAAAAAGAGAAAACTGTGAAACACTTCTGAAGATTACAGTCTAGGGACCCAGGCACACTGAAAGACCGAGGCTTAATTATAGGATTTCAGAATGTTTCCCTTACCCTACACCTTACCACCACATCAACAGGGCTTTAGGATAATAACTATGGTACAGCTGAAAAACCTGCAAGGCTCAGACTCTAAAAAGTTTTCAGGGAAACCCAGAGAAAACATGGGAAACAAAAACAAGGACATTACAAGAAATTGAAACCTGTGACACCTACAGCTAGAGTAAACATTAAACACAGCCCAACGCCTGGCAAAATTAACAAAAAAAATCACGCTAACAGCCTGTTTACCTCAGATCCTATTATGTTATACATCATGTTTGACTTTCAACATAGAAGAAATTGTAAGGCATGGTAAAAGAAAAAACAGTTTCAAGAGACAAAACAAGCATCAGAACCAAAGTCAGATATGGCTCAAGTTTTGGAATGATTACATTTATAGAATGTAACATAATTAAATGCTAAAGAGTCTATTAGAAAGAGTACACAATATGCAAAAACAGGTCAAGTAAACAGAAATAGAAACTCAAAGAAATAATTAAAAGGAGATGGTAGAAATAAAAAGCTCTATAATAGGAATAACACTTGGATAGGCTCATTAGTATACTTGGTATGGCCAAGGAAAGAATCAGTAAGCTTGAAGACATGTCAGTACAAACAACCCAGACTAAAATGCAAAGAAAAAAAAGACTTAAAAAATGGAACTAATGTCCAAGAACTATGGGACAATTTTAAAAGGTGTAACATACACATTATTGGAATACCAGAAGGATAAGAGAAAAAGGAACAGAAGAAATTTTTGAAGTAATGATGGCTGGGAATTTTTCAAAATTACCAGACCACTGATACAGGATTTGAGCAGAGAACACCAAGCAGGATAACTACCAAAACAAAAAACAGCTAAGCATATCATGTGCAAATACCGAAGACAGAGAAAATCTTGAAAACAGCCAAAAGAAAACCACTTTGTCTATAGAGAAACAAAGATAACAATCGCATTGGATTTCTCATCAGAAACCATACAAACAAGAAGATAGTGGTGTCAAATATTTAATATTTAAAGTATTGGGTGGGGGGAACCCCACCTACCTAGAGTTCTGTATCCAGAAAAAATATCCTTCAAAAGTGAAGGAAAAATAAAGATTTTATCAGACAAACAAAAACAGGGAATTTGTTGCCAGTAAACCTGTCTTGCAAGAAAAAAAAAATTAAGTTCTTCAGAGAGAAGGAAAATAATATAGGTTAGAAAATCAGATTCCTATACAGAAAGGAAGAGCTTAAAAATGGAATATCTGAAGGTGAAATTTTTTATTTTTTATTTTAAGTGATCTAAAAGATAACTGTTCAAAATAATAATAGCATTGTGTTAGGTAATTATAGCATATAGATAAGTGAAATAAATGGCAGGAATGTTATAAGGTATAGGAGGGAGGAATTAGTATTTAATATACTATTATAAGATATCTGCACTACCTGTGAACTAGTATAGTGTTAATTGAGAGTGGACTTAGATTAGTTATAAATGTATATGGCAAATTCTAGGGCAACCACTAAAAATTATAAATAGAAGTCTAATTGATATGCTACTAGAGTGGTAAAAATGGAATCATATAAAATGATACTCGTTCTCTACAATCTTTCCCAGAAAATAGAAGCAAAGGGAACATTTTCTGACTTGTTTTATGAGGGCCAGCATTAGCTTAATACCAAAACCAGATGAAGATATTACAATTTTTAAAAAATAATAATTACAGACCAGTCTCTCTCATGAGCATAGATGTAAAAATCATAAATATTAGGAAAGTCAGAACAGTTGATTGAGATACTTTTATTTAAAAATCAAAATATTAGGAAATGAAATCCAACACAATATCAAAAGAATTCTATATTATGAACAAGTGGGATTTATTCCAGGTATCCAAGGCTGGTTCAACAGTTTGAAACTTAGTTAATATAATATACCACATCAACAGACTAAAGAAAAATAATTATGTCATTATTTCAATTGCTGTAGAAAAAGTACTTGACAAAATTCAACACCCATTAATGAAAAAAATCTCTCAGCAAACTAGGAATAGAGAGGAACATCCTCAACTT